ATGCTTCTGGGTATTATTAAAATTTAAATGAAGGGTATATTTTTCAATACCCGAGACAGTGAAAATCTGATATCATAAATATTTTCAAAAAGGTTTTGATACTTTGTCACTGTAGGAAGTTTTAATCGCTAATCTGAGATCTACATTTCAAACAAATCTATTTCTCAAAGTTTAAATTTACATTCATGATTCAGCCTGTAATGCCCAACCTAATAGCAATTGCTGAAGACAGAGAATAGTTATAAATACATCCAAGGTCAATAAAAATTCATAGTCAGGGAACAAAAGCAATGTTCAAATACTATAGTTTACACAAAATTAAAATTCAACGAAAGAAATAAAAATAATTAGCTTTGAATTTGCGCGAAATATTACAGTGAATTTAAACAATGACTCAGAACAAACATCAGTGATGACATTTTGTTCCGAAAGAAGTGGATTGCCTTAATATCATTATATGAATCTGAATGATACTGTTGAATATAAAGACATTTCAACTTTTGTACTTCATTTGGTATCCGACTACTTGCAAACCCTTTTTAAAAAAAATGGAGATAGGGGTTTTTTTTGTGATTTTAGGTTTATTTAGTATATTTTAAGAAAAAAAACGTAAAATTGAAAAAAGAAATTTTTTTTTATTATTAAAAAGGGAAAAAAATGGTAAAAAAGTACAAAAATACATAAACAAGGCCCGCTCTGTACAAAAAAAGTTTCGAACAAATCTCAATTTTTTAATTTTAATTTTTTCTTTGTTATTCATGTTTGAAATGACCTTCCGGGTAATAGATATCTTAATTTTTCAAAAAATGGCCCTATCTTAGTAATATATGAAATTGCTTAAAAACAGTGATTATATTCACATAAAGGACTGTAAATTTTGAAATAATCAGTGATTGATAAATCGAAAAAAAAAATACTTCTACTGTTATACAAAAAAATTTACAAAAGTTTCATTAAATTATTTTCAAAACTTTTTTAGCAATCCCTTTCCCTGTTTATGTTTTTTGAAAAACACATTTCGAGTAAAACGCATTTTAAAGTTTGACATCTTTTTGTAAAATTAAAGGCATCTTTAGTTAAAACACTTTTTAGTTTTGTTCTAGTGAATGGAAAAAAAAAAGTTGGTATTTTTTTTGCAATAGATGGTCTATAAAAAAAAAATCATAAAAAATTTTTCAATTTTTTTAAAAATTATGATTTTAGGGTAGTCGGATCCTTTTCCTATGAAGATCACAGGAAATTTGGAAAGTGATTACTTACCCATTTTGATTGTTACAACTAAACAGCCATCATTATCTCTGAAAGGAAGTATATTAATGAAATTGGAACTTGCTAATTTATACATATTTTCCTTGTCCAGAGTTTCAAAGAAGTCAGGATAGGAAGTAATTAAATTAAAATAATTGTGCAATAGTCCCATTGCATTGTCCACATCATATTTTCTAGCTCTCAGAAACTGAATTAGGAATTTATCATCTATCAGACACTTCAATTTCTTGTCTTCTGTAAAGAAAATATTCCATTTCAGAAATTTTAGAAAAATAGATCTTTTATAAAATATATTATAGCAACTCTTAATTGTCACTGCAACTAAATAAGTTTAACACATCTAATAGCAATTTCTTAATAATTTATTTCAATAAGCAACTTATACCTACCAAAATTTTTTCTTCCAAATCACTTATTCGGTTGATTCTATACAATTCGAGTTTTACTTTTTTATTAATTTCTTTTTTTTTTTTTACTAGTTTGAATTGCAGTCCCCTTTTCTTCGGAGGTGAATTTCTAGGTGCTTTTAAAAAAACGATTTTTTTTTAAATATAGTGCGAATATGGCGAAAACAGTGACTGCATATGCAGTAGTACCCCAAATTTGTAGACATTTTTTAAAATTGTTATGTTTTTTAAGTTTGTATGATTATAGAAAAAGTTACGTTGCACAAAATTCAAAGTCTTTTATATAATTTTAATATAATTTACTACTAAATTCAATACAAAAAGAGTTATGTTGCAATAACTATCGATATACGTTAGATACTGATGATAGCAGTGAGTTAGCAGCGCTTAGTGGGGTAGCCTTTATTTTTTATTACAGTTTCACATCGATGTTTCATTGAGTTGAAAACAGTTTTAAACTCTTGACAAAAGGTGTGACAAGTTTTCAATAGGATTGAGTCTATTTTATAATTTGGTCATGGATATCAGCAGATAGTATTAGTCACTTCCATATTGTCGATGGAACACTGAATGTCAGAAAATACATTGACACCATTCTAGAACCCAAATTTCTATCTTCCATCAGGGTCTATTTTACTCTTCATTTATTTTTAACAAAATTCTGTCCCCTTTCCACACGTTAAATAATCAAAAAATGGTATCGTTCAAACCATTAGGGTTTTTGTCTTGGTCGAAAAAAGTCCCCAACCTCAATCCTTTCAAAAACTCATGGCACCGTTTGAAAGCTCTTTTCAAATGGTACCCCTAAATAAAAAAAACTATGAGAATATAATTGTTTCTTGGCCTCATGTATTAACGAAGGAAGGGATTAAAACTGTGACGTACTTTGTCGCGCCGTCTCACTAATCCTCTTGGGTAATCTATGGGACCAGAATGACATTACTTTAATCGATCCCTCTCAAGAAGAACCAGGGATATGCAGATTAGTGAATAGATATATACGGGAGCTTTAGCATTCGCAGGGAAGTGATATAGGAGTTGAACAAGAGTTGGATAGAAGCCGGTAAGTTCAGGTGCTATTTATTTAGAATTGATAATTACGTAGTATCACTCCTGATCATATCTCTCTTGTAAGACTTCTGTTGCATTGATCAATATGTATTTAGACAGTAATAAATTAGATTTATTTTGGAGCATTTCGGTGATAAATCATTTATTCCTACAAATCTAGGTCGCGTGGATGAAAAGATGATACTCCCGGGCAGGGGGGTATCACAAAAGTATTTTCAGCTCAATGACACATCGATGTGAAGCTGTAATAAAAAATAAAGGATATCCCACTAAGCACTGATAACTCATTGTTATTATCGGCATCTAATGTATATCGATATTAATCACAGCATATCTTTTTTTGCGTTGCAAATATTTGAATTTTCATTTCTGTATTCAATTTAGAATAAAATTCTCTTTAAAATGATTTAAAAGACTTTGCATTTTGTGCAACATGACATTTTCTATTAGCATACATATTTAAAAAACATAACGATTTTAAAAAGTGTCCACAATTTTGGCCACCACTGTATAACTACTTTTGTTAAATGGGGATGTTAACACATTAAACATGTATACACGGGCACCAAAACACGCATAATCATTGCTACCAGCAATGTTGGTTACGCACATTTCGATTGACACTTTAGAATTAATTCAAAACTCAGTAATTATTGAAATCTTTGTGTATGAAAGAAGTGAATACGTTTTTAAATACTTTTATTTTATTTTTATATTTAATTTCAAAAACGTAGTAGTTCGTGATGCACAAAGTAGTGTTAGAAGATTTATTAGAGAACAAAAGAAGTGTTTCTACTCTTTATTGATGTAGCAAATATCATGTAGATTTGATACAACTGTCGTCTAAAACAGTTAATAAATTTCGAAGCAATATTTAAGAATCTGGTACACAGAGAAAAACAATTAGAATTTATTTTCGTATGAAAGAATTTTACCCTTTATCTATCGACGGTACTTATAAGTACCCCTCACTTTAAAATTACATAGAGTAACCGTTTCTTCGAATACTCTGACGATACTTAGCAGGAATATTTTTTTAAATCCACTCTTCCAAGATATATGGCAGCACGGATTCTATGATGAGTATTTTAGTGGAGAAAGTGAATAGTTTTATAGCAGAAATTGCGTTTTCAGTGGATTGCGAAGACTGTCATTTTTGTTCCGGAAAAATAGTTTATGTCAAAAGGTAAATGTCTTACTTTTTTTGTATGTTAATGAAGACTTCAGAAAACAATTTGGCAATTTATTTTAAGTGAACAGTGTGCGTAAGTAATTTTGCTGTTGAATATCTTTAATTAATTAATTCAATTTCGAAAGTTGAGTATTTTGTTTATGTATATGCCATAATTTTCAATGTTGTGATTAAAAAAAAATATTACATGAAAAAAACTGCAGTAAATCATAATGCCATAGATATAAATGGTTAATACAACTCACCTAAAATGCGTTTTCTGAATTGTTCTAAAGATGGCCCTCGTATTTCATCTGTTTCTCCGAGTTTCTCTTTGGCTATCTGTATAAATTTGGCTGGCAAAGTATCGAGATGTAAGGCAAGAATCCCTTTGCTTTCATTCTTTCCTCATATTTTGCAGCCATTATTGGTGGAAAATGTGATTCTAAGAAATACGAATCGAAGTTATTTGTATACTTTATAATATATACAACTCTTATACATTTCAAAAACTTATTTTTCAAAATAAACCGTGAACCGGGAAGCTTTCATGTTTTTGAGACTCATTTTTATCCTTTTCAATTTCACTAACTTAACTAAGTTAACTGGGTGATTTTAAAATGTAAGGACTCCATTTATACGTGAGAGAAAGATTAATATTAAATGAAAAAGAAGATATTGTCTTTGATCTTGAAATTTGTTCGTTATCGTGACATTAAATTTAAGCAATTATTTATCATGCTAATGGAAAAAAAACTAAATACACTTCTGTCTTATTGTTTTAATTATATTCTTATAAATCCATCTCAAAATACGAAAAAGGAAATATTTTTCAATTCCTACTATTAGTTCACTCGCTCCCTATATATATATTACAAATTTTTAATCGTTAATAAAAATCTATTTATCTATTCATCCATTCAAGTACAAATACATTTTTTTAAAACTATTGTGAATGACATTTGATGTTAAAACATTTTTTCAAATATTTATTCTTTAATTAAATTTTAAAAAATTAATAAATAGTAACAAACAAAAATAATAATCCAACAGCGTATGCAGAAAAGGAAGGAGTTCGTTGTGTCCCCGTAGCGCAAGCGACAGCGCGTTGGACTTCTAATCCAAAGGTGATTGTGGTTCGAATACCTGGGATGAACTAATTTCTGATAATGTTTTTTTTCTTTTCTTGCTATACTATTTTAGTAGAATAATTAAATTTAACGAATGAAAATAAATAGTAAAAAACAAAACAAAAAATAGTCTTACACCATATGTAAAGAAGGAAATGAAAAATTGACAGGAAAATTACTTTTTATTTTGCCACTTAATATTGTGATACTGTCATATGTATAGAGGCCGCGGTAGACGAGTGGTATGAGTGTGGGATCGTGGCTGGCTTTGTCACGAGTTCGAGCCCACTAAGACTTGCCGTCTAGGGTAGCGATGCGTGCTAAGTCTGTCGAGAGCTGAAACGTCCTCCCGTTGGTGTGGTGTGATAGTTAGGAGAAGGGGTACCAGTTCAGGTGTCGGTCACGTCACTTGACCATGGTTCAAAATTACATGGTCCGTCGCCAAAAGCCCTCGTGTAGCTGAACAGTGCGACGTTAATATTCACTCGCTCACTGTCATATTTATATACGTATTTATATTAATTGTAACTAAAAAGCATTTTCTTTGTTGGCCTAAGTGGACTCGTCATCTTACTCGACTTACAAATACTTGTCTCGAATTACATATAAATTTCTACAATACATCAATTGAATAATAAAGTATTGTTTAATTTTTGTACGAGATATATACTCGAATTTAACACGTGAATTACAAAAGTAACTAATCATTGACATAGCATATTTTTGTAAATTATAAGTTCATTTCTTAATGTTAGCATTTTTGAAATTTAATTAAACAATACATAAAAAATTTATATTTTTATGAAAAGTTTACATGAAAAAGAAAATTAAATTACTCACTTAATTATGGGAATTTATTCAAATCGAAAGTCACTACTGTTCATTAGCTAAAATTCAATTTAAAGCTTATATAATAGTTAGTAGAGATATTGGTAATAAAAAACGGCTTCCACTGCGCGTACACATTAATATGCACACAAATCAACTTGTAACTGATTTACATATCGAACATTGTGATAAAACGTTTCAATTTGTATCCAACTCGATAAAGACACAAAAAAAACTCATATCGGCTTCAAAAAAGCCAAGCATGATATTTTTATTCGATAAGGACAGCATTGCCTTTGGACTTTGCTTCTGATATTGTAGCATTAAAAATAACCCAAAGTTTATCACAATATTGGAAAAGAAGCAATTGAATATAGTCATATTTCTTTTATTTCATTTACGTCCTTGTATGATCATCTAAACCAGTGTTTCTCAAACTGTGGGGCGCGCCCCCCTTGGGGGGTGTGATAACTCTACAAGGGGGGCGCGAGCATATTGAAAAGTTGAAAACGGAAGGTTATTTAAAAAATTATTAATTTACAGAAAGTAAACAAATAAAATACTATCTGATATAATAAAATATCGAATACGCAATTACACTGTTATAATACACTTATAAATGTATCAGTACCATATACAATGTATATTTTATTATTAACTTAACAATACTAAGTTAAGAACAAGTTTGATAATTATGAATGAACCCATGGGCTTGTGTGTGTGTATTAATACTTATCTTGATAATCTGTACGGTTTATAATTAATTCCTTAACTGCCGATTAAAAGTTAAGCAATTCGCTCCCAAATGCCATCGTTTACCATGTAGACGAGCGTATTTTGATGTCTTTTTTTAAGAGGGAGGGGGAGGAGGAAAGAAAAAAATAAGCAAAAATCCTCTGAAGTAAATAAATTCTGTGCAAGAACTGCCAAAGTCCTTTTATTGCATTTCAAAGCCCTCGGAATAATTTTATGGATAGCACTGCACAGAAATGATCGTACTTCGGAAAGACGTATATATACGTCCAAAAAATTAATGCTTTGGCTGAGCGAGACGTTTATATACGTCGTTGGCACATAAGAGGTTAAAGTCGTATTGTAGCTTTAGTGTCAAAGTATAGTATTATTGAATTCAAAACATTGTTATTGTATGGAGGAGGACGCGATGAAAATTATGACTGAATAGTGGGTCGCGTATATTGAAAGTTTGAGAAGCACTGATCTAAATAAAAAGTATTTTGAATATCTGCTACACGAGGAGCAAAGACCATACGTGATATCAACTAGAAGTACCTTTAAGGTATCCGACTACGTTCGGAACCGTGATTTTGCAAAAGCGCATAAATGGATAATTTTCATGGTATTTAGTGTCACTTAGAATTAGAATACTTGAATAAAATTATTTTAAGGACACATTTTGACAAAAAAAATTATTTAAATACAATATTTTGGCAAAAAATAACCTTAGAATAATGTTTTTTCAAAATGTTCTCCTTCTGTGAAAAATGCTTCTATTATAATAATATTTAACCTGTATATAGCTCAGACCTCTCTACAAAGGCTCAACTAGAAGTTTTGAAAAATTCACATTATTTTCAGAGTTACCACCCATTGAAATAATTATTGGCGTTTTTTTCTTAAAATTGCTCCCCTTTGTTGTCGTAAAATATGGATAAACCCACTTCTAAGTTATATATTTCAAAAATTCTAGTTTAGCCTCTGTAAAGAGGTCTGAGCTATATACAGGCAAAATATTATTGTAATAGCAGTATTTTTCACAAAAGGAGAACATTTTGATAAAACATTATTCTAAGTTAATTTTTTACCAAAATGTTGTATTTGAATAACTTTTTTGTCAAAAAACAATTTTATACATGTATTCCAATCTAGGTGACATTAAATATCATGAAAATTATCCATTTATGCGCTTTTACAAAATCACGGTTCCGAACGTAGTCGGATACCTTAAAGCTGTCTTCGGTTAATGTTAAAGAATAGGAGCCGAATTTGGAACATTTTTTTCAGATAAAAAAGAAATGAAAAATTAATATTATAATCCGGCTTCGCTATCCTTTAGAGAGCAGCATTTTTTATCATACTTCCCATTTTTAATTGAGTTGATCAATTTTTTCTGTTATAACATGTGTTTCGAGTTTTTCTACTATACCGTAATGTTAAATGAGCTGTCCCTTCACATATTCAAATGAAAAAAAGCATTCATGGAATATTTAAAAAATTTTAAAAACGCTATATTGTTAACAGAAGTACGAGTTATAATGTTGCAAATTTCCATGAAAATTGAAGCATTTTTCTGTCTGAAAATGTTCTTCGCGTTTAGTTCAAGCTCTCGTATTTTTGCCGAAAACAGCCTTAAAATATCTTGTTGAGCTACTTTTTACCTTAGAAGTATTCAGAAGAAAACAATCCATGAAAAGAGGATCGTATATACGACCACCTGATAGAACGTGTGAAAATTATTTTCACTGAAATATTCCTTTAGTTGTTTGAGATTGCTACAAGTTAAATCCTTTCACTTAATTGGCAAGTCCCTGTATACGTCCCACTTTTAAGTACGGAATATGAAATTTGAAGTTAAAATATTTTTCCAAAATAAGAATGGTAAAAAATAATATTTACAATATGTATCTCTTGTCTCGTCTTAGCAACAACAACAACAAAGTCTTGCCTTGAGTTTTCCTTTTTTCGAAATAGGCGAATAAGTCACTTTTAAAATTGGTTATTGCTATGTAAATTATTTTGCAACTTAAAAAATTGGTTTATTATTATTAAATGTGATGAATTTTTAAAATTATATTTTAAAAGAAAAAAAATTCAACCAAACTTACTTCTTTTACGGGGTATTCGAAGAAGAGTTTTTGAAAAACTTTAATATTCGCTATTAAAGTATTTCTTACGGATGAAATATAACTTAAACTATATAAAAAACACAGTTAATATTTTACTTACAGTGCAAAAAAGAGAGGGAGGTGAAACATATTGAAAATATTAAATAAATTAATGATTAGAATAACGCTCATAACTTAAATGTAATCAAAAAATATTACTTTCCTGAAAATTTGATGTTGATCATCATAACATTCTTTAAAGCTCTAGTATTGTTTTACTGATGATAATAAAATTTATGCAATTTTTTATCAAGGTTCTAATAAAAGAAAATAAAAATAAATGGAAATCAAAATAAATTGCCATGAGAGTTGTAACTCAGATCTCATCGTTTTGACAGTAGATCTATGCCTTCGCTACTGAAAAATCGTGGTTGATTCGAGAAAATCCTGTATAACTTCTTATACCTCATCATCCAAATGGAAACGTAATAATCTCTCAAGTGGAAAAATATTTGGAAGGTTTCTGGGAGGCAAATCCGGACTGTGTACAGAGGGGAATTCCAGCAGTTTGCTACGAAATTTTTTTAAGGTGTTCTGGGCTACGCGAGAGACGTTTGGGCGGGCATTGTCATGGAGATCTGGTATCGTTTGCCACCCTTCATGAAAAACTTTGCACCAATTTTTAAAACTAAGCAGTGCTCGCCATAGACTGGCACCAATCGCTGATAATTGCCCGCATTCAGCTCAACTTCCGCAATCAGAAACCATATGTAACGTCATAGTCACATAATAAATGAGCCACGTGTTTTCAGCCAATCAGTTCATAAGTTAATGCGACGTCATACTTATATCATAAATATAATCGCGCGTTTCCAGCCAATTAGTTCATGTGCTTCACTGTTGCCAACTTTGCTTTTTGCACAGAAACTTTCTTTTAGAAAGTACCTATTTGTCATCGATATAATAACGCACATAGTTAAACAAAGTGCACTTAATTTAAAAGTATTCGTATATAATGCAAGTATTTCTCTTTTTAATTTTGAAAACTGTTTGAAAAATTTTAGCGGTTGAACTCTTTAACCCAATCATCAAATTTTAAATATTATCTAAGCTTTACAAGTCGAACAACTAGTATGCCAATTTTTAATCAATGGGAAACACGTGATTTCCGTTATCGTGTGACCATCATGAATTTAGTCCATTGTACTTGTACTTTTTATAAAATTCAGATAAAATTTCAAATTTCTTATTTGGGTAAAGATGTTTAAATGTCAGGAAAAAAGAAATTCTTCAAAAAGATTTTTTAAAATTAAGAAAAAAATCATATTTTATGTTTATACTTATTAATAAAAT